GAAAATCCCGCTGAAAGCCCGCATTTATCTCTTTTAAAAAATAGAACTGGAGGTTTGTGTGGAGAAGCCACGTTAAAATCACAGGTAGCTTGGTGGGCGGGGGAAAAAAGTGACTTTTATCAAATAATGACTTTCCTACTGCTTACGGCAGCAGCGGATGTGTGGAGAAGCCACGTTAAAATCACAGGTAGCTTGGTGGGCGGGGGAAAAAAGTGACTTTTATCAAATAATGACTTTCCTACTGCTTACGGCAGCAGCGGACACGGCGGGGACCGGGGATCAAACGCAGCCCTAGTCTAGACATGGGTGCAATCCCCGCCTGCCTTAGAAGTTTGTGCTGAGGAGGATTTAGCATATCGTTTCCCTAATATGATTAAACACAGCTCCCTGTCCTGGGGTACTGACAAACCCCCGAGTCTACAGGCATCCCAACCCACGTTACCCTTTCCGCTGCCGACGGAGGAACTCGCTTTGCCAATGCGGCAGCGGAGGCAGGCGATGCTCGCGGGTCCCGACTAACGGAGGTTTCCTCACCTGAAGTTTGAACTCAGCCCTTCTTGCAGTTCTGTCATTTGAGTAGCATTTCCACAAACCTTGCAAGATGCAGCTGAACCGAGAGATTTCCTGGCTTTGAGTCAAACGCTGCAGTAATTAAATGTTTATAAAACACTTTAAGCATGCAAAGTGCTATTATCGTAGACAAGAAACCAATAGGCTATGGCAGATTGGAGCTGGATTTTGAGGCACGCCAGCAAACACAGCTCATTTCTTCTGCTAACAGAGGATTATGGAGACCATTACCAGGTTCCTTTTATTATCACCAGAATAAGTCAAACCAGAATTGCTTGCTTTCATATGAACATGTGCGATTCAAAAGTTTTCCCCTCTGTAATAAATACCCAAGCAGAGGGCCAGCTTGCTGTTTATCTCGCAAAGAAGCTACCCCTAGGGAATCGAGAAATTGCTGCTACTTCTGATCTCTCACATAAAACTGGAGAGGCTCCACCTGTGACAGGTTTCTAACACCATCTGCTGTTTAAAAATAAGACCGCATTTGAGTGAAGCAGCACACGAGAATTCGTACTTGCCTGATAAAGCAGAAGCGACACCGGCTCAGCTCGGCAGCTTCTGTAATTGCCAACTTCTCACTTTTGTTCTTTCAAAGCCTGAACGTGTTTCGCCTTGATCTCAATTACGAAGTGAATGATTTCTCTGCTAGGAGCCCCCGAAAGCCAACGAGCAGCAGCCGAAGGCCAGGCCCACAGCACAAAACTTAAATCTTCATCCGCAGTCGTGGGACCCCATCCATCTTTTCAGGATTGAAGCGGATTTTGAAGCAGCATCGTTCCAAAGCCTGGCCCAGAGAACCTACTTAAAAACTTCTTCTGAGGAGAGAGCGCCATAGACTCCACAGGGTATAAGGAACTCAAAGAAAATGGTTCTTTCCACTAAAAATAAAAAAATATTTACCTTTTGCTGCCTCACACTGCTGCCTGTAGGACAGAATAAATACAGATTCCTTTGCTGCTTCCTTATTGAACGCGATACAAACTTTTGTCCCAGGAAAAACAACAGAGCCCTGAAGTTCATTATACAAATAAATCGAAGGACTCGCTGCCAACGCTCGTCGTTTCTGTTGCACGTGTTAAAAAGCAGGGAGGAATTCTTAACACCACCGCTTTTGCTAAAAAAAGAAAAAAAAAAAAAACAAAAAAGAGTTTTCCCCCAGTGGGTCCCTACGGAGCCCGGCCATTCACCCCAAGACAATGCAGCAGTTTTATCGCCCCAGGTTTCAACAGAAAAGCACCCAAAATCTTCCAGTCTAATACCAAACAGAGGACGCAGCTATGCAACCCTTCTCCAGTCATAGCACGTCAGCCCATTTACAGCATCACCCTCCGCATTTAACATTTATACCCCCCTCCGCACACATCATTTAAAGAGTCAGTGGCTCCTTTTGTAAGCGATCGGCTTCTTACCCCGGCACTTTACATGCACTTCTCGACAAAAGAGACCTTTTACATGTCAATTTATTTTCCGACAAGCATATCTGAAAGGGAGTTTCTCTCCGGAGTAGAATTAGTATTAATGGCAGGTGTTCCAGCCTGACACAAAAGGAGGAAGGCAGCAAGTTAGCTGAGCTTAAGTAGTAAGACAGCTTGATGTTTTAATAACCAGAGGCAAGAAAATGGAGTGGCAGTGGACCTCCAGCTTTCATCGCATGAATGAAGGTTTTATTCAGAGCCCCCTATGTACTTGCAAAAGAAGACCTTGAAATATTTTCAATGTTCTCTTTGCGGCAAAAGAGGGATTAAATTGTTGAATATTACATGAAAGCGCAGCGTCCGCCCCACACACGCTTGCGGTCACCGAGTAGTTCCGAAGCCTCCGCGTTCTCGGGAAGGCGGCAGCGGCTGCCACGAGGAGGTGGTGGCACCGGCCGCAGTTCACTGTCCACAAATGGCAAAAGACGCAGGAAAAGGAATTACGTGAACTAACTTGAAGGTGGGGACTCAAAGAGGGTGTTTGCCTTAGTCGGATGGAAAGTTAAAAAGCAGAGAGGTTGCTCAGTGAAGTTTCACTACGAAAAAATAGAGATGATTGCTGAGAAAGTTACTGGCCTTCGGTTTTAAAGACAGCCTGAATAATCATGATGGGAATATTTATCAGGCCAAAATACATTTATTTACGCTCCGGTTGATCTGACTGAGGTCAGTACCACATCATTAAGATGATGGCACGGCTACATTACACGGTGGGAAAAAGCAAAACAGCCTCTCAGCTGGGTCAACCTCGTTTACAACAGAAAATGTTGCTGATTTACACCCCAAACTGGGGAAGTTTCACCTTTCTTACACAGAAGCTGTATTATATAGAGTGAGCTGCTTGACATTATTTTCAGGCTCCTTGTCTATGGATTAACACACTATTTCCACACAGGTTAATTCCAGGTAGACTCAGCTATTAGAGGGTGGATTCCGGCATTTCTGCTCCCTTGAGCTTTCGTCTAGATGTACGGGACAGAATCCTAAAGGACAAGTCGGCCGTGAAACACCGGGAGTAACACAGGCAGTTTTCTTTGGAAAGATTTCCTCATGTAGGGAAGTTAAATACATTTTTTGTCCCTTTTCAAATCCAGACAAAAGTAAGCTGCACATCCTCTCTGTCCCACGTTAAAGCTGAATGACCTCAAACTCTTGCATGAGCAGATCATTTGGGCTTCTCCAAGACACCTACTGGCTCCCCCCAACAGGCATTAGAGACCCAGCCTGACCCAGGCCCAACCTTCACCCAAAATAATGCAATTTCTGTTAAGATGACAGTGGTTGGTCCCACCTGTATTTTGGCAAAGGTTTAATGCCATCAGGACAAAACCAGAAAGGGAACGAGGGGGCCCACCCGACCCGATACAAACACCTACGGTTCTCATACACAGGAGGATCAACAAGTCCATTTTTATTGAGGGCTGGAATTTAAAAAAGTAACAGCACGTGGTTGATTTGGAACTAAAAATCAAGACTTATTTTTTACTTATGGAAGGATCACTCGAAACAACTTGGTTAAAAGCACCCCAGAAAGCAAGGTGTAGCCCTTCTGGTTCACTCTGTTGTCCAAAGTGATGCAGGTCCAAGAAGCTACAGCTGCCACCGAACGCACTGTTCCTCTGATTGAAGACCCCAGCGAGGCGGAGGGGTTTGACACTCCGGGTATCGGGGTTGGATGCCCTGGGTATCGGCTCATGGCCAGAGTCCGCAGCAACCGTGGGCTGCTTTCCCTGTGCCCAGAGAGCTCCGTACCTGCTTGGCCTTACGCATCTTTGAGTTGTCGCTGCTTGGCCTCACACCAGCACTGTTGCAGGGAGGATTAAGCACGGGGTGTCATGTTTTTCCTGACCGATACTTGAAAACATTCAGAGTTTCATATAAACAAGCTGGCTACCATCCAAGCAGGGTGAAGGTTTGGTTTAAGACCCGTCCATACTGTTGAGAGGTTTACAGTGAGTGCTGATCTCCACTGACACGTCCAATCCCATCCACCATTTCAGACCCCACCCTTTCCAACAGAGGAAATATTCCGAAAACCTGTCAAAGCGTCTGCTTCCATCCCAACAGTGCCCAAAGGGGCTGACCCCAAGCTCCAGAAAACAGTTGTTTAAAATTATCGTATTTGTTTCGGTTACCTAAAATTCACACACCTTTTCACTGGCATGAGAGTTACTGCACAGCTGTAGGAAACCTAAGGCAGGTTCATGGGCACCGATGCAAACATCGGGCCAGAGGAGAAAGCAAGTATTTTTAAGGCAGGCGTTTTGCGTGGTGGCGTTTCCCCCTCCCCAGCCATCAGCAAAACATTAAATCCAGTTCTGCTGGGGGTCGGTAGCAAAACCAGTGAGAAGATCCAGTCTGCACTGGCCTCCTCTCAGCGGCACCGGACACTAGGGCAGTACTTGGAATAAATACAGGAAAAAATCATGACTGTTTCAGCTGCTCCAGGGAGTAAAACAGGACCTGCCTGGAGGAGGGCAGAGGAGGAGAGCGCTGCACATCTCAGAGACAATTTTCTTACGGAATTCTCCATCTTAGAGCCAACTGGGACTAAGCAAAAGGGAAAAGCAGAAAAGAAAGTTTCTCCTCTCATTACAGGATCAACCAAAAGTAGCAGAAATTCACATGAGAACCTTTGCTGGCTTCAGTCGCATCCTCGAGCACGTGAGCGTTTGCAGTCCCTGTAGCTCTCCTGCTCCTCCCGAGAAACAGCCACCACCGAACCAGGGAGCTCCAGCAATTCTCTGCAAGTCAGAATGGGTCAGGAATTTATTTCTAGCACAGTTTGCCTCCGAGTGTTCATTTCTGTTAGCACTAAAATGCCCTGAAAAGAAGTTGCCCTCTGCAGCCTGCCCCCGTTCCTGTTGATCACTGCCTTACTCCGTTACTGGTTCTGATTAACTTCCCACTGCAAGGTGAGGTATTGCCCTGAGAGAAGGTGCCGTAACATGCAGCCCTACTACAGCACTGCTGGTTTTCCCATCACGGGGCCAGATGAAAAAGCTTTGCAGATCTCCCAAAAGGCAGACAAGAAGCATCATCCCCGTCCAACATGGAGAAATGACCAGGGTCGCTTATTCTGCAGCTAAAAGTCAGTCAGTAAAAAAACATCAACCGAATGACGCATTTATTGTACAAGTCAGAAAGAAACCCTGAGTTACCAGCTGTAGGACAAAGTTAAATTAAAAAAAAGGATGGTTTGTTTTGTAGGTTCCTGCAGAAGGAAAGGAAAACCAAAAATGTTGAAAGCAGCAGCCAGAGCCAGCCCAAAGCCTCAGCTTGGCCGAGGAGAAGGTTCCATTGTTGTCTTCTCCTGCACGGGTGTCAGGGTCCCCAGGGAGCGACGGGGAGACCACAAAGGTGGGAGGGCAGAGGGAAGGCAAGAGCCAAACCTAGCAGGTATTCGGGACAGCTGAGTGTCTAAGGGGGTGTTTGGAAAACCCGTGGTTTATTTTGTTCAGAGAACTGCTGCCTGGGCTGGAAGAGGGCAGGAGAGAGGAAGAAACGGGGTCTGACAAATTGACCTTACACTCTGAACACACACGCACAGAAAGTGAAGGGGAGGGAGGTCCTTTACAAACACGAGTGCTGCTGGCTGGGAGTCTGCGGGGTTGACTTTGGGAAGGGCATCCAAAGGTTCGAGGGAGGAAAAACCCCAAAGCCTAACCCCCAAACATCACACAGTCTTCCAGCTGCAGCGGCGTCGGAGAGGATCGATTCTAAGAAACGATGTAGCTACAACAAATATCTGGCCCTACACAGGAAAGGGTGAACCAGAGCTGCTTTTTAGTGCCACTTGACATGAGTTATACATTCTAGTTCTCATATACACAGATGGATGACTTTAAAAACTGACAATTTACACTTCAAAAAAGTTTTACAGTGAAGTTCTCTCAGCAAAGATCAGTCCACACAAGGAGGAGCCAGTCTTTCAGAAACAGAAAGGCACTCAGCCTTTTGAGAAGAAGTCCTCAAGGGAGCTCCTGTGCAGGCATTGACCGCCCGATCTCCTGCCCCCGCCTCCAGTAGGTGGGCAAAATCTGGTGTGACCGCACGGTGCCGTGCGGCTGCAGACCGCCCCCGCTTCACAGCGTGGTGGAAGGAAGTTTCTTCACCCGCCTCTGTGCCAGAATGGAGAATTCGATGGGCTTCAGCTGGGGGCTTGGCTTGGAGCTGTTCAGTGCAGAGTACGTGGCAGCCATCGCCCCCTTGGAGATAAGGCACGAGAAGTCATTTAGATGTAAAGAGGTATTTCAGACTCACAGCTTTACAAGGTGAGGGACCAGAGTAGCCAGACCCACCAACAAAGCCAGAAGCATTTTCTTTTTTTCTTTAAATCTCCCTCCCATACTGACACGCAGGCTTCCCTGCTAAAAACCCAGCTTGCCTTGTATTGCCTCCCCCGGCCCACACCTCTCCAACCTTCCATCCTGCTTTGCCCACACCACCATCACCCCCCTGGACTGCTGCTTTCCAAAGAGCCCAAGGTACATGAGGAACCTGCTGAAGGCCCAGCCCAGCTTTTGTACCTTCACAAGCTGAACGTCCTGGTGATTCAGCTGGCTCTGGGGTAAGCTGTCCTTCTGGGTTATCCATGGATGCTGCAGGACCTGCTTGGCTGTTAGGCGCTGGTGAGGATCTACGTGAAGCATCTTTGATACCAGATCCTAAAGGCATCGTTTGGAAAGTTAAACTTTAGAAGATTTCATATTTTAAATGCAAAAATATGACCTGTCCTCCCCCAAATTAGGATTCAAATTCAGAGGCCAAGTTTAAAGTCCCCAGACATCAATCTCCTTTTGTATAAAGTGTATTTTCAGCAGGCCTGGTTATAAGACAGCAGCAAACCCCGCATGGGTCAAGCATGAGGTTGGTGTTGAACGCCAATGTTCACAGCCAGAGCTAAAACAGAGCAGGGAGAGGCACGCTGCTGGGCTGCTGCGGGGGAGATGTGCATGGGGTAGAAGCTACGCTGCTGGTTTTCTCCTCTCTCTTCTGCCCTCCCTCCCCAACCTCCTTTAAAGTTGCCTAACAGCAACTGGCCGCCAAGACCTCAACCCTTCAGTGTAACACAGATGACTATCGAACCGCACCTTGGCCATGTCAGAAATAGTGTCCCAATTGCCTCCACTGATGGAGAACTTCCCCCCACCTATCCGGATCAGGATTTCTTCTGGAGTGTCGCTGGGACCATTTGCAAACGGAGTGCAGCTGGGGAGAGAAGAGACAGCGCTTGATTTACTGTCCTGTAACCCAGCCACAGAGCACCTCCAGGTAGCAGCAACCAGCGAGGAGAGCTCCAACTGCCACCGCGGAGCACATCTGAGAGCAAGGTGGTCACAGCCCCAAGCTGTCACCTTCCGGAGAGACAGAGGCGCTTACCCTGCGAGCATGGTGTACAGGAGAACTCCCAGGCTCCAGATGTCGCAGCCCTCATCGTAGCCTTGGCGTTTCAGTACCTGAGCAGAGTAAGCAAAGGGGGGAAAAAAAAGAAAAAAAAAAAAAAAAAAAAGGTGTGTTTGGTTCTTGTTGTTGAGCTCGCTCCAGCTTGTGAAGAGCGAGTGGCTTGACCCCTGGGTGCAGTCTGTACGTGAAGGTCCTAGAGCCCTACTGAATGGCAAAGTCTTGGACTAAAGATCAGGATTCAAATCAGGTTTTGGTTTCATGGAACAGAGGAACCCCCCAGGCACATCAAAACAACAAGTGAGAAAGAAGCCACGTTCCAGTACGGTGACGCTGCATGCGTGCTCCACTGCGTGCCTGCTCTTTTTTGCTTTCTTTCGCACCAAGATAACTGAGTGGAAAACCATCCCACCTCTTTTAACAGGTCCGTGAATCAGGAAGGGAAGCAGCTTAGAAAAATCACTGGAATTTTAGAGTCTCAGTACCCTAAGCAGACCCCCTCATAAGGACAGTACAAGTTGGAGGACTGCACTTGAGATCCCCTGTTTGTTCATTACTACAAGTGCTATTTCTGTAATTACCTCTTCCAGGACAGAGTAGGCCAGAGCAGGCTGGAGTTAGGAACGGAGCAGACCTGTGCCAAGTGAGAGCACGGGCTCGGGGAGGGACGTGAGAGTGACCGAAGGGTCTCAGGTCAGTAAGGTGCTTACCTCGGGTGCCACAAAGTTTGCCGTATAGCAGGGAGTCATGAGAAGGCCGTTCTCAGCCCTCAGCTGCTTGGCAAAGCCAAAGTCACAAATGCGAATGCTTTCGGGGTTTCCTGACTCATCCACGTAGAGGATATTGCTGGGTTTCAAGTCCCTGTGAACCACCTGTGGAGCAAAGAAAGTGCCATTCCCATACCCCTGGAAGACAAAGGTCTGCAGCTGCATCAGACACTCAACCCCTGCTCTGGCCCCACATCCAGCTTGCCAAGAGAGCAACACCAGCAAAAAATAATAGTCCTGACAGGCACAGTTACTCCTCGGAGGAGAGGGAGTGTAGTGCAATGCCAGAGAGCTTCCCAGGAAGACAGATGTAACCATACTCACCCCTTGGGAATGCAGATACTCCACCGTTTTACAGATCGTGTGCAGGACCGAACTGGCTTCTCTCTCCGAGAAAAATTTCTGTCTGAGGATTTTATCCAGCAGCTCCCCTCCCCTCATCAGCTCGGTCACCAGGTACACGTACTTGCCATCATCATACACCTACCAAAGCAAATACGGAGGGGTTAACCAAAAAGTGCTGCCAGAGCTTCCCTTTTGTACTTCCACCACCAAGAAGCAGACAGAAAGCAATGGAGAGATGGGTCTGGGGATGCCTCCCCACCCCCGAGCGATGCACTGAGCAGGGCCATGGGGTTGCCCGTGCTGGAGCTGTGTTGTGACCCCCATAGACCAGTCTGCACTTCCTAAACCAAAATACAGGAAAAGCCATTCAAGTTACACTCACATCTTTCAAAGTAATGATGTTTGGATGCTGCCCATATCGCAGGAGGATTTCTATTTCCTCGGAAGGGTCTCGCTTGCTCTTGTCAATAACCTGCAAGAGTACGGATAAGCATTAACCACAACGGGGTGGGAAAGGGGCTGGGACAAAGCAAACAAGCTGAGTGTTTGGAGCCCTGCAGAGATCCTGCACCACAGCTGCTCCCTGCCCTCTTTTAGCAATAAGCTCTAGAAATCCCCTAGTTGCTTCTTCAGCTCTGTATCCCCAAACCCCAAAGTCTGATGTCTGGCTTATTTGTTAAGAGCTGAGATAGCCAGAGCAAACTCTGCAAAGAAAGGTGAGATACTGTCCTCCCCCTGACAGAGGGGAACGCTGCTTCCCCGCTCTTCTGAGATAAGGCGGCTTGCGCAGCAGCACACAAAGTGTCCATTTAGGCCCTACGCAAGCAAAGAAAGCAATTTCATTCCTGGATGTTACTTTGGTCATCATGGGGACACAGAGAAATCTAACAGGGGAGTTCAGTTCAGATGGTAAATCTCAGACCTTGACTGCGTATTCCATGTTGGTTGCTTTATGAACGCAGCGTTTACAGACTGAGTAGGAGCCGACGCCGATCGCCTCCTTCACCACGTAGCCGTCGGTGAACTGGACATTCTTGCCGTGCAGCTGCTGCAAGAGGAGAGCGGAGAGTCGGTGAGCTGGGAGGGTTTGGGGCAGGGTTTGTGCAATGCGATGAGTTAACTGCAACGCAGCGCGAGCTGACAGACTGCTGTCTGCTACATCCCACAGCTTCTCCTCCCGGCTGGGGAGAGGGAGGAGAAGAGAACAAGGCAGATATAGGTCAGTGGGCTAACGCTCTCTGCGTTGAGCCATGGTGCATTTCGGTGGCACCTTTTAACCCATGGGCATTTACAGAGACCTCCCGCTAGCACGGGTCCACCTGGGGAGAGGAAAGCAAACAGACTCGCATTGCCCTGACGACCTTTGCACGTGACAGTCAATAGAAATGAAAGAACAACAGGATGCAAGAATTCAAAACAGAACGGCGCTGCCTCAGGCTTCCCGTGAGCTCTGCTCCAGATGGCACGGAGGTCCCGCAGACCCGCTCCGGAGCATTACTGCAGCTTCCAACAGTTCTTCCTCTGTCCCCACTTTTTACCTGTACAACCGAATGTAGAGGTGACTGGGTGGGTTTCACCTTGCCATCCTCCATCAATCCGGTTGCCAGAATCTGCAAGAGGAGTTGAGAGACATCTTGAAGAGGGCGAGCCCCGGAGAAGCAGCAGCCTTCCCCTTGCTCCCCAGGAGCTACGGCTCCTCTTTAGTTTATTCAAGACAAAATCCCCACCACGCAGCACTGATTTTACCCCATGTATCTATGGCTGGGCCACCTCCTCGGTGCTGCAACCATCTGGAGCTGGCAGCACTAGCAGGAGGCAAACCAGCATGAAGCCGTACAGTATCATTTCAGACAGGAAACTTTGGCTTTGTGTGAATTCGTACAAACCTTTTGGTGTACGCGATGTAAATTCTGTGTCAAAATAAAAGGTGTCATCTGGCTGGCCTACGGCAGGCTTGAAGGGTGGTTTGATTTCCCTGCGGTACAGCTTCTGCAAAACAAAGACAGCTCGAAAGTGCTCCGACGGGTCAACCCTCTTGTACATGCTCAGAAGGGTGCAAAGGCGGGCTAGGAATGAGAGGCCAAGAAGAAATGTAGTGAAACTAGAAACAGCTCTGTGGCTTTGCATTTACCTACAGCTCAGCAGTCTGAGGGAAGTCTTCTTGGCCAGTGGGGCGCTTTTGAGTTAGTTTGTAGAGAAATACTGTAAGTTCTACCTTGTATTAAATCAAGGGAAAAAAGTGTTCTATATGTAACCTGGCCCCACTCCAAAAGCATCACCCATAAAGTATTTATCTTGCCGGGCTCTTCCACCTCCTCCTAACCCCATTAGGGCTCCCCTGACACGTATCTCCCCAGGGACAGCCAGAGGAGATGCCCCAGGAGGACATTCGTATCCCAGCACTCCCACAAGCAGCTTTTTAAAATTGCTTCTTGAAGCAAAAAATTGAAATAAGCTTTACTAGCATTGCTGGAGGATCAGTCTAGCAGCTTGCTGGGTGCCTTGAAAGCACTGAAAGGCTGATCTTCAAAATCCCTCACCCAGTAAGGGAAAACTGGGAAGAAATAAAATTATGTGGTAAAGTAGGGAGTTGGCCAGAAGCAATTGGGAAACGCTGGTTCCGTTATCGCCTTGCTTCTCTGTACAAAACAAGGTATTTCCTTGCCAGAAATGTTTCCCCAAGTCCTTCCTGCTTTGTGCAAGACAGTCCGTGTTGTGCCAAACCCCAACTAAAACCCGCACCTTACTGGCGGGAGATGAGCAAATTCAGACCAAGGTGAGATCATAGGCAACGCAGGTATGAAACAGTTATGACAAACAGAATTTTAGTTTTGGGAAGGATTATTGGGACAGACTGGGCCTGGTAGCTCTCCCATAGCTGGTCAGTCTGCAAGCATCGTGACCGCGCTATTACTGCAGCCAGCAGAACTGCATTACTGGTGCTGAGTGGTGTAGAAGCTTGCTTTTATATTTCTGATACTCACATTCCAGTCAATGGTAGAGTAGAAAGGATGGCGCTTGATCTCCTCTGCCCCATCTGGTCCAGAACCTGAAAGACGCACCCATGGAGTGCGTTGCATTAAACCATCGACAAAGCAAAGGCTACCACGTATGCAACACAGCCAGGTATTACAGGGAACCTGGCTGTAATTAAACGGGCCCATTAACCAAGTGCAAGCATGAACATGCTGCTGACCCATGAGGATGTGAGAGGCCCCGATACAGCATCAGGTGTATTCAGAAACCAAAAAATGTCTTACCTAATCGGTTGGCTGGATTCCTTTTGAAAAGGGCTCGCAGGAGGCTCTGTGCTTCAGAGCTCAGGAACTGCGGCATGCCCAGCTTTGCTCTGGAGAGGAAGTTGTGCAATCGGTTGCAGGTTTAAAGAAGTCAACCCACAAGCCAACTGCAGCACCTCCACCCCCGAAAGTACAATCATCTGTTTGGCATTTACCCTGCACCCTTCAAACTAACTGTTGATACAAAACCGCTTGCCAAATCATGCCATTAAGTTGTGAGAACCCCCAAATTGCAACACGCTCGGGGAAAGAGCAGAAGCTCGCCTCCTATACATACACGAATGAAAGAGAAAATCCTCTTACTTGAGGATGAGGGTCATCGTCTCCTTACGATCCTTCCCCTGGAAGGGCAGC